AAGATTTAGACACAACCATGTGATTTTTACTCATAGACCACATTAAATAAAAATACATAAAACTATTAAACAAAAAGCTCCTTCTAAATAAGCTACGTTGCTTTCTCTCTGTGACATCTAATTATGATGGAAGTTTTTTTTTTAATGAAGAAAATGTTTGAGAAACAACATAATGCAACCAATGACAGAAAATGTATCATATATGAAAGCTGATAAACTTACCTCTCAGCTTTCCCCAAGAACTTTTACAGATTCACCATCATCAGATTGTGCATGTAGCTGTGACTAAAAAACAAAAGCAATCGAAAACTTGGGAAGACAGAACGGTATGAAACAAAACCTTAGTTTTAATCCTCTCATTTCTTTTCCTTGTTATTATCTTGAAAACTTAAGGCAGTCGTCATGAAAGCTGCTACTGCATCTATTCTAATTTTGAAAAGATTTCACTTGTTTCAGACAAAATAGTTCCTTGTGAATGAGATATGGGAAGAAAGAGACAGGTGAGGGATTGTCTGCTGTTTTCCTGTCCTCCTGGTAACATGTTGTTAGCTGACAATCCCTTCCAAAGTTACTGTTCTAAGATGTCTACCTTACCCAACCCATTGCTCACTTTTTGAAACTGAAAAAAAGAGGCACAGAAATACATATACAAATTCCTTGTGGCTTTGTGGAATACAGTATTAAGGAAATCTGATACATGGATTTGTTGCTACTACTAGTCAAACTTTTAGGTCAAGACATTTTTCATCCAAGACTGCCTATCTTCAATTTCAATGTCGTGTGTGTGTGTGTGTGTGTGTGTGTGTGTGTGTGTGTGTGTGTGTACGCGCACGGCAACAATATGGCATGTTTTGACTACCCAGGCATGCCTGATTCACTAGCCCCCACACAATCTCCTTTAATAGGCGTCATTCTATGCAACAAGATATTTCTTTATACTACCTCTTAGCAAAAAATTTTATTGAATCTTATTCTCTTGTGGATAATTGTTTTCCATAACTAGAATTTAGAAATTCTACAGGGAGTGGAAGTTTCATCTGGTCGCTTCACTGGTTCATCCAAATCACCCAAAAAAGAAGTATGACACATGGAATGAAAGAACAACTCACTTTTGTCCTTGTGTCAAAAACTACTAAAGGCTTAATTCAGAGGTCAGAGCCTGATCTGGCCAGAAGGAATGTTCTGTTTGTCATACAGAGTGTTGGAAAATGTTTTTAAATTTTCATTTGTCTGGGCCTGGTGTGATGGCCTAGCGGCTAAAAATCCTCGCCTTGAATGCACCGGGATCCCATATTGGCACCGGTTTTAATCCCAGCAGCTCCACTTCCCATCCAACTCCCTGCTTGTGACCAGGGAAAGCAGTCGAGGATGGCCCAAAGCCTTGGGACCCTGCACCCGCGTGGGAAATCAAGAGGAAGCTCCTGGTTCCTGGCTTCAGATTGACTCAGCTAAGCTATTGCATTCACTTGGGGAGTGAATCATCAGATGGAAGATCTTCCTCTCTGTCTCTCTTCCTCTCTGTATATCTGACTTTGCAATATAAAGAAATAAATCTTTAAAATTTTTTTTCATTTACCCACTCATTGATTCTTTTGAAAGACAAAGTAAACCTTCTTCCATTTTCTGATTGTCTCCTCTAATGTCTGCAATGAATGAGACTGTGCCAGAGCTAAATCCAGGACCTGGGAAAACAATCGAGTTTCCTATGGGAGCAGAAATTCGACTGAACCACCATCCACCTCCAAGGATCTGCATTAGCAGGAAGCTAGATTCAGGAGCCAGACCTGGAAATTGAAACTAAGTTTCAATAGCAACTTAACCATTAGACCAAATACTCTCAGCGAAAACATATTCTTAAAATCAGTAACATGAATTTCAAACTCCTTGCTAGCGACAGGCATTTAGCCTGGTGGTTAAGAGGCCTACATCCCACGTCAGGGTACATAATGTTTGATCCCCGATTTTGACTCCTAACTCCAGCTTTCTGCCAAGACACATACTGTGAAGCTTGTGGTGGCTCAAGCAGTTGTGTTTGTACCACTCTAATGGGAAACCTGGCTTGCATTCTCAGCTCCTGGCTCCAGCACTGGCCCAGTCCCAGTGATGGGAACTCTTGCACTGCCTGCCTGCCTGCCTGCCTGCCTCTCAAATAAATAAGATTTTGAAGACAAAAGTAAATATCACTTTTTGGCTTCTGCCCCAAAATTAGATCTGGTAATTAGGCCAAATATTTCTTTTCTTCTTACATGAGAAATATATTTCTCACTTTTCTGCCCTCTGCATTCACTGATTCACTCTATGACTATCCATACCAGTTTCAAGAAACCAGAAACAGCATCTTAGAATGCTAAGATTTTTATCCTTGATCCATAATCACCTAGTTTGTTGATGATATTGGTATTTGAGTTTGTGGCTTCAGTCCATAAATATATTCCTTCCAAGCCACTTATCTGTGTTTTTCTTAGATGGTGATTTTAAATATATGATGACATGGTTGGAAGTTGCACACATCATGGCAGGAGAAATATTTTAGAATGGCAGAAAGTCCAAGTCATACCGAAAGGGTAGATAATCTTTTCCATCTGCACATGATCCCTTTGCCTAGCAAAAATGGATATTTCTGGGTTCTGTTCATTATTCTAAAAGCATTTTTCCCTGAACCCTCATAGGTTCGACCTCTTAATAATGTCTCCTTTTGCATTTGGGCACTATTTTTTCCAAAGCACCATATTCATAAATCTATGGCAAAATCTTATCTAACATCTGAACCATGTATTTCTGTTCACCACACTCACTGTAGAGGCAGTTTGGCCACAGTCTACTTAGCACAGCTTCGAAGTAGCCAGTTAGAAACCCTCTGATGATGGAAGCATGAAAGGCACTCCTGAGAGATCACTCAGGCCTCAAAGGAATTTTCCCTCCTGTTTAGCAATGCATATAGTATAAAATCACTGGAAAAGAACACATGTGAAACACTTGCTTGTTTCACATTTTGGTAGCCTAGGAGAGACACAGGAAACTTCTTTGTATCTGATGGGCTACATCTCAGACTAATTCACAGAACTTACTGCTGTGTGTATTGGCTTTGGCGGGAATGGGTGAGGAACACACAGCAAAAGCAGCCATCACTATGATTTAATTGCACCTAAAATGGTATATTTACCAAATCCAAACCATTTTCCTATAGAACAAAATAATTTGTATTTGTTTAATTTCACTGTGTTTAATCAAAGGTTATATCCTCACCCTCAGATTTTTGTAGCTTATGTGTGTATTCTAAATATACATTTATGTATTTAGGAAAAACTATATCTTAAGCAAACTCGAACCAGTACTTGTTGAGTGTCCTTTATCCAAAGCAGTTAGATCCGAAGTATCTCAGATTTCAATGTTCTTCAGGTTTGTAAAATGTGAATTGGCTTTACAGGTTGGGCTTTAGTGATGCTCAACATATACATATATTTTAAACAGAAATAATTGATTTAATTCATAGACTGTTTTCCACATTTAAGGTTAAAACAGAAAGCAAAGCCCTCCTGGAACTTAACATTCAATTGTGTAATGAACAATGCTGACAGGATTGTTTAAGAAATAGTTAAAGTCTATGGAGTGAAAAAGGTGAGGTAAGAGGGAGCAGAGCCAGATGGTGAAGTGGCAATGGATGATCACTTCTTTAATTCTTTAATGAGGCCAAAGGAGGTGATACCTGAATGAGATGGAAAGAGATTTGGAGTAAGGGAAGAGAAACAGCAGGTGCAGAGATCATCAAGTGCATGTGCTCAGTTTGTCCCAATAGCAGTAAGCCTACTAGTGAGGCTGGAGAGAATGGGCAGCCAGGAGTAGAGGTGGTTCGCTGAGAAGTCAGGGAGTACACTATGAAAACTTCAGATATTCTACCAAGGGTGATGGCAAACTGTTGGAAAGACTTGAACAAAGAAGCAATTAGATAAACATCTCTTTATTTTTGTGGGAAAGGCAGATTTACAGAGAGAAGGAAAAACAGACAAAGATTTTCCATCTGCTGGTTCACTCCCCAAGTGGCCAAAATAATTGGAGCTGAGCAGACCTAAAGCCAGGAGCCTCTTCCAGGTCTCCCTCGTGGGTGCAGGATACCAACCCCAGTGTCTATGTTCTTCAGTTCATTTGAAAACATTATCCTGAGAAAGGACTCCATAGATTTCTCCAGACTGCCAAAAGGACTGGAGGTACAGAGGTAGTGTGGATAGTAATCCTCATGAATGCGTTTGAATGCAAGGAAAACTGCTGCAGGTGATATTGGACTTAGATTTTGTGTTTAGGAGTTGAGGGAAACAAAGGCCAAGCTTACAGAGAGGCCAGAGTACATCTCATATGTCCATCCACTCAGATTTTTCTAGTTTCTTTTTCCAAATATATTTATTAATAACCGTCCCTTTTGTTCTGAAAGGTGCCCCAAGGGACACAGTCAGTTACTTGGTCTCTTGGTCTCTTATAGCTGTAACTGTTTTCAAGCAGGCTGTGTGGCAGAAGTGCCAAATTGAGTGTTGTCTGCAAGAACTTGTGGATACAATTCCTTAATTCTGACTTACTAGATAATGAGATTGAAGCTGTGAGATGACATAAAAGAGAGACCCAACACAAGAGCCTGGTAGCTAAATCCTCATCTTGCATGTGCCCAAATCCCATATGGGCACCAGTTCGTATCCCAGCTGCTCTGTTTCCCATCCAGCTCCTTGCTTGTGCCCAGGAAAGGAATCAAGGATGACCCAAAGCCTTGGGACCCTGTAACTGTGTGGGAGAGACCTGGAGGAGGCTCATGGCTCCTGGCCTTGGAACAACTCAGCTCTGGCCATTGCAGCCACTTGGGGAGTGAATCAGCAGATGGATGGAAGATCTTTCTCCCTATATCTCCTTTTTTCTATATATCTGACTTTTTAATAAAACAAATAAACTTTAAAGAAATTGCACAAATGGTATGATAAAAGAAAATCATTTTAGTCATAATTATTTCTCTTTCACAGCCAAAAAGGAGCATAAAATGGAAGAAAGTCACTTGGAGAATGCACAGAAAAGGTAAGTAGTTCTTATCTGACTCCAGTTTTGTCTTTGACCAGCTGTTCCTTATTCTTCATTATTATGTGAATTATGCACATTCACATTGCTGTGCAGCCATCATTTCCAGAACTTTTTCTTCTTCCCCGACTGATTCATAGTACCTGTTACCCACTTAACTCTTCCCTTCCCCTCAACCTGCAGCAACTACCGTTCTGCTGTCTGCCTCTAGACTTCAGCTATTCTGAGCACTTCATAAACAGTTGTCTTTTTGTGACTGGTTTATTTCACCTCTATAATTTTTGGCTAGCCATTCTTTGGCCCCATTTGTTAAGACCATGTGCCCATGAGTAAGCAAGATGCATCCAGAATGTCGGAATTGTAATAGGCTTGAGGAATGTTTTCCTCAGGAGGTAAGGAATCACCCAGAAGTGAATCACCACCAGCCGCACACACCTGTCATGGTGCTATTCCATCTGTTTGCCTCTGCGCTTGAACTGAACTGAGGCATATTTTAATCTTTCTCAGCATTACAACTAGATCGGACCATTGTTGTAAATACCTAAGAGACTTACATCCTTTCTCAGATCCTAGAGGATATTGTGGACAAGAAACAGGTGGGAAGAATGAGCTGGCTTTGGAATATGGAAAGTCCCCCAATCTCCCAAAAGTTGAGAAAGGCCTCAGAGATCTTCTTTCTAAACTCATCCACTTCTGGCTTCTTCCTTGCTCTTTGTTTTCCTAGGCGACATCGGAGAGGAACTGTCTGTCCTACTCAATAGAACCTAGTAATTATTGGTTATTCTCTCAATTATTGGTTATTCTATTATTGGAGTTTTTGGTCAGCTGGACTCTCTCCCTCTTGTACATATGATTGGAAGTATTCCAAAGCATGCTCACATTCATGGCAGAGAATTGATGTGCAATCTTGCTGGTACCAACTTTAAAAGAACTAGAAAATGAAGTGAGAGGTGGACCATTAGAGGTTGAGAACAGTTTCCCAGTTTAGGATTGAAGTACAAATGAACAAACTCTAGCAAGGATCCATTTTCCTCCACACTAACCACGGTTGCCAGGAGTTCAGAAACCAATAGACAGTGCTGTCTGCCCTGCTTGACAGGTACGAACATCTTGGTGTGCTTCCCAGTGTAATTGCCAATAAAATTAAAATGCTGATGAAAGCAGAGGTAAGGCCAATCTTGTTGTCTGCTACGTGCAGAAATGATCTTGGTTCATGGGCATCGTCATATAAAAAACTTTAAAAGTAAAATAGTTGTTTTGTTATCTTCTTAGATTTTTGCGCCTCTCTATTGACCTTACCCCTGTGTTACATTTCCCTTCTTCAGTGCATGAACCTCGTTCACTGTGTTAGAGAAATACTCAGCACGTACAGACGAGACCATCAATAAGGACACGGGGATCAGGGCAGCTGAAATTCAGCTTCCAAGGTGGATGTCAGATTTCTAATCCTTTTTCAAGACTCTGACTTCAGGAAAAGGGGCCCACCTTAGAGGGGCCAAAGCTGCTGCTGTGCATTAGCTATGCTGAGGGCAGTCATAAATTCTGCTTGTCAGCGTTTTCCGTGGCTTTGTGGTGAAGGTAGTCTAGCTTTCATGTCATACATGAAATATGTTCGATCCCATCTTTAATGTGGAAACCACAGTTGTTTGGTTACACTCTTTAAGGAGGTTGTGGTCAGTGTTGCAATATTTGTGTGAGATTTAGTAAATTCTTATGTTTTATTCTCAAGAGAAACAATTTACTCTGAGGGTAAGGAATATTTGCTTTTCCTAAGCAGTTTCTGAAGGCATTCATGTAAAACAATGAGTGGATGTGTTCCGCTTTGGCATCTCAACCCTGTAAAAGTAAAACAGTCCCCTTTGCTATGGGCTTTTTGATACTGTCCTCATCTATGCTTTACACTTTTAAAAAGATACAAATCAGGTGGGGGAATTATCGCAGAGAAAAAAAAAGTCAGTGAAGTAAAAAATTGTATTATTAGAAATCAATCTGATTAAAGTTGAAAGCTCTTTCAGAGTAATCTGCTGACAAACAAAAATTTACAAAGCATGATAGACCCTGTGCTTTTTCCCATCTATTGGAGAAAATTCTCTGAGTCACTAAGTGTCAGCAGTTTTTTGCTCCTGTCTCAGAAGGTTTTCAACAGTCAGTCTTTTGTGAATCACATTTGAATTTGAAATGCAGTTTTGTCTGGGAAGGACAGTTGTCTAGACCTTATCAGATAGTTATAGGTTCACAGTCTCACTGTTGGCTTTTTCCTAAACAAAGAGCTAACTCTGTCAAAGTTGCAGAATGCCAAAGCCACCCCATTCTCAGGGATTCTGTTTTGCTTGCTTTCTTCTGAAGAGGTTCCCTTGCTTTCTCAATTTCCAACAACACAGAGCTGGGGTACACGGGGAAGTGCTGAAATTCAATAATTCTTTTTGTTTTTACCTCGTTAGAGAAGAGGGTAAGCAAGCAAGGCCTCACAAACCCCCAAGGAGAGTGGCAATGTGGGTGATGATTAGCCTGTCTCTTCAGTTGACAGTTGAGAAAAAGTGAAGATACCCACAGCCATGAGATGCTTCTCTCAGGCTCTGTGACGACCACCAAAAAACCCTGTTGTTCTCCGAATCTCATCAGCGTTTGTAGTATCTCAGTCTCCCAAACTGGGCTGGAAATCATGCCGGAAGTGTTAGGGTGATCTATGAAATATAGTGACATGAAATGGTGGCCTTTAGCAAATGCTGGTGCCAAAGCAGGAAGATTCCAGATGTGTGGCCTTCTCCATTCACGCACAAGTGAATAGATCTGCATAAAACATGAGCCTAAGGAGAGAAAATAATCCTCATGGGATGACATGGAGGGCAACTGTGTCTAGCATGCAAGCAGGAATTATTTTATTTCTCAAACACCTGTTTTCTCAAGCAACAAATGGGGAGATCAGAAAGTGTATTTCACAAGGAGTCTGGACTGGCCTACATCATTTAGTCTTTCCAAGCACCTATTTCCTCATCAGTTGAATAAGAAGTTTACACAAGTCAACCTGCAAATCTCTTTGAATGTTAGTGTGACTTCATAGCACTTCCATGGCCTGTTTCTTTAGGTTACCCCTCATACTACCTTAAGCCCAGTTTTAATTTTAGATGGACTAATGATCCATGCTCTAGAGTGGCTGTTTGGTGTTAGCAGTCTTCCTACTGCCATAGAGTCAGGAGTTATACCCGTGGCAAGAGTGGGCTTTGCTTCTTTCTTCGATTGCTTGTTTTTTCCTCCAGAAGGTATGTGTACACTTGGAATTATGAGAGTCCCTTGAAAGAGATCACTGCAGTTGCTGCCTTTCTCTGTTCACACCCTTCCAATCCTTTAATAATGTTGAATGTGGATGGGGGGAGCAGAATTCCCTGACCAGTAGTTTTAATTTGCATTAAGAACGGATTTATTATTTACAGAAGCACTAAGAATTTATGGGACTCAGAGCTGCAGCTCCATCTTGGATCTCACCTACTCATATCCATGGAATCAATTAACAGTTCATCTGTGAAATGTGATAAAATCTTATGAGATACATATTGCCCAATAACTGAGAAGGAGATGAAAGTATGCTACATAATAGTTATGGGGCTTCAGAGTTTTACAATCACTGTTGAATAGAGTTCTATTAGAAGCTCAGTATTCAGGATGGCCACAAAAAAAAAAAAAAAAACTGTGTCTGAACAGATGATAGAGCACTGAGTAATAAACCTGGCCAGCCATTCCTGCTTTGATTAGTTTCCAACACCCTAGAAAAAGGGGCCCATTTATTTAAGTGTTCTTGCTTATAGCAAATGAGCTTGTGAAGCTTAGGGTGGGTGTGGGTGAGGGGGGAAAGTTTGAGTTCAGGGCTATAAATTGCTGCAAAGCTAGTGCCTCCAAGAAGGGCTGCTTGGGAGGCCGGGGGAACCTGGTGTGCCATGAGCTTCATGGGGTCAGTCCTGGTAGTAGCTGAAAACCTGAGTTTTTTTTTCTTACAGACTGGAGACTACTTTTCAAGGTTTAAGACTATTTTTTAGTCCAAATTTGGGTATGCCTACATTTATGTCTCCTTTTGTACGTTGGTAGTTTCTAGTCTTGTATCACACCAAGGTTTAAAATGTAACCTTCTTAAAGATGATATAATCTAAGTCTTCATCCTTAAGAACACTGGGTGTCAGCGATGCTGTGCCACTGACCCCAGACTGTAAAGCCAGTCAGTGTATATCAGAATAAGAATAGAACTGGCTTTCTTTGAAACATCCCACAGATTAACTGCTTTTATTGGACTGTTTTGCTGACCACTGCCAATGCCACAGAATAGATGTGTAGTAATCAAGCATAAAATGAAGAGCAAGGGGATTTGACATGAAGAACAAAGCCTGGAGGTTTAACCTGCATACCCCTTAGACTTTCACTTACTATTTTTTATAAAAATAAGTTTGAGCGAATGGGTTTCCTGAGGCTTTGGAGAAGCTGTGGTTAAGTATGAGCCCCCTCTTCTTACAGAGAACACACATGAAGGAAACGCAGCACTCCCCCAACCCCACATCGCATCCATCTCTTCACCCAGGTGGATTTTGGTATTCACATTTTCTCACACTCTGCCTCTCTGCGTTTTTTTCTCCTGCCTCTTGCAGTTTTGAAACAACAGTGGGATATTTTGGGATGAAGCCCAAATCTGGTGAGAAAGAGATCACCCCCAGCTATGTGTTCATGGTGTGGTATGAGTTCTGCAGTGACTTCAAGACAATTTGGAAACGGGAGAGTAAAAACATATCGAAAGAAAGGTAAGACCCTGATAAAAGGCATTCACACCCCTTTCAAGAATCTAGGAGACTGCCAGGTCACACTTAATAAAGGGCATATTTCACAAGTGTCAGTGTTTTCCTTGGATTCTAGTGGACACCCAGGAAGGATTATGGCCTCAAGGTTCATGGGGAAACCGTGGGGAAAGCTTGCTGTCCACACAAGCAGATACACTCACACAATCTGATCAGTTACACTTTCTTAAACCCGTCCAATTACTAGCTAGTAAATGAAAGGGGAGTTGTGCTAATTTGCAACAGATTGCTTCCCTATGTGTTTTCATGTTGGCCCAGGCTAAATGAGGCAGCCTTGCTGTTGCAGACAGTACAGACAAATAAAAGGGAATGCTTTTCCCATTAATACACTGAACTTTCATCAAAGGGAAATCTCAGAGACTCGGGCCACACTTCACACAGTGTTGAAGTCCCGCACTGGATTTACAGCGCCACTTCTGACTCCCTGTATCCTGCCGAGGACATCAAACTGTGTGCCGCTCAGCCTCATTGCAACCTCTTGATTTTATTAGTTGGTGGGGGTAGAAGTAAAAACCTTGACTCTGAGTGTTGGCGTGTTGTGTTCTTGCTCGCATGTGTGTGTGTCTGTCCATTCTCCTTAGATTGAATGTGATACTGATAACAGGGGCGGAGGAAGCATTTTTGCGTGATGGTTGTAATGGTTAGGTTGCTATTGTTCTGAAGATGATGTTAGGGATTTAAACTGCAAACAGATCTTGCTACTCTTACAACATATATATATAAATTCTACAAAGTAGGGAAAACAACTTATTTAGTTAGAATTCCTGTATCTCACAAACATTGAGACATGATAGTCCATAAGTCACAATTTTTATTCTTTACTTTGTAATCAAATGTATGTACACAATTTACTCATGTTTATACATACACATGAAATATATACACTAATATGTTTGCCTTCTACAAATCACATTGAATTAAGAAAAATCTTTTTTTTTATTTTAAAAGGCAATTTTTAAAAGGGTCAAAATTTAGAGATCTTAATTTCAGTATAACTGTGTCTCTAAATATTTTCTCAGAAAATTTGAAAAAGATAATCTTTCCATAGAGATCAAAGATGTTTAAAAATATTTATCAATATATATTCTTGTCATTACCTCTTTGGGAACACAGGAATTAAACTGAATAGGTCTAGTATATAGATGATATGCAGCAGAGAACATTGAAGTGACATTGTTAGGAAGGTGGATTGTTGCTCATAACATGAAGAAATACTAAAAATCTTAGCATTTAACTCACTGCTCTTATGCTGTTGTTGCTTATTTACCAGTTCAGAGTAAACTAAAATAACCTTCTGTGGAATAAGTAAATGAAAGTCATGGAGCCAGGCTTCTCCTCTCTGACAGGGCAGCCTCTGGCCAACTGGTTCTCCATGTCCAAGCCTTAAGATAGACATGGAAAACCAGCTATGAGCGTTGAATATTCATATAGCGTTTGCTTAAGAACTTGCAGCTCCGGGGACCCAGAGTGATAGCATAATGGTTAAGGTCCTTGCCTTGAACATGTGGGATCCCATATGGATGCTGGTTTCTAATCCCAGCAGCCCCGCTTCCCATCCAGCTCCCTGCCTGTGGCCTGGGAAGTGGTCGAGGACGGCCCAAGGCTTTGGGACCCTGCACCCGCGTGGGAGACCTGGAAGAAGCTCCTAGCTCCTGGCTTCAGATTGGCGCAGCACCAGTTGTTGTGGCCAGTTGGGGAGTGAACCATTGGACGGAAGATCTTCCTCTCTGTCTTTCCTCTCTGTATATCTACCTTTCCAATAAAAAAATAAATAAATAAACCTTAAAAAAAAAAAGAACTTGCGACTTCTGTCTTAAGCATAGTCCTTAGTGAATTTGTCCATGGAATCCCAAAAGCTCCAAAAACAGAAGAGCAGCAAACTAGGTGATTGACAGCTTTTCATGTTTTGTTAAACTGCTGAATGTTTTCCACATAAAGAACTTTCCCTGCCACAGATGTTAGAACAAACTGTGCATCTATTATGGAGTTGATACCAACTGCCCTTCCATATGATGTTCTCCCTGATGTTCTCCCTGCCTCTCAATCATAGGCGTTTGCCACATTGCTTCTTGAGTGTCCTATGTCACTCCCTGGAAACCAAGCAACAGGTTTTTAAAAGGGATTTATTCATTTGAAGACAAAATCAGTCTCTCTCTCTCTCTCTCTCTCTCTCTCTCTCACACACACACACACACACACACACACACACAAAGACACACACGCACATCTCATCCACCCACTGATTCATTCCCCAAATGATAGGGATAGCCAAATCTGGGACATTGCCAAGTCCCGGAGCCCAAAACTCCATCCAAATCTGCTGCTGCCTTTCCAGATACGTTGGCACAGAGCTAGATAAGAAGCAGAGCAATTGGGACTTGAAGTAATGCTTATCTGGGGTGCTGGTATTGCCACAGTGGCTTAACCCACTGTGCCAATAGCACCAACCCCAAAACCAACATGTCTAAATGATTGTGATTTAATAAGACAGTCTCAGGGTTTTTCATGTAGCTTCATGGGTTTCTTCCTTCCTGCCCTATTCTGTGCAGTGATCTCCAAGGAAGTCATCCTCAAGCAGCAGCTCTGAAAGTTCATCATCACTGTTGAAATATTTTTGGAAGCAGCTTCTTTGAGAAGAATGTGTTTGTTAAGAAAGTTTAGCATACTGTACATATTACTGCCGAACCAGTTTAACTGAGTTGTTTAGATAGATGATTTAAATAGAGAGGGTGTTCTTATAACAAGTGAAAAAATTTTTAATTTGTTATCCATTTGCTACAAGTTTTAGTCCTTAGGTTGATAGAATCACAAATTCTTCTATAAATGAGAGACAAAGTGGTTGCCTTGTTGTGACACCTGTATGATGATATGACACTTTTCCCAGAAAATCAGTAAATCCCAACAACTTTAAATTGGTGACAAAGATCCTAAAAATGAAATTCATCAACGGAATGACGTAAAAATCTTGTCATTTTTAGGGAAAAAAATCCTGTAACTTAGGATCCAATCAAAATAAATGAAAACCACTTGGTTTCTAAGTATACTTGAAGATAAATTAAAACCACAGAAATCACTGGGAAAAAGTAACAATCTAAAATAAATAGTATTTTCAAAGGGACGTATTCTATCAAATGATATTTCATTAACATTTTCTCTCAAATGAGATAGAAACATTGATAGCCAATCTATGTTACATGAGGCTTATTTCAGGTGATATAAAATATTCTTTCTTTTTCTGTTTAGCATGGTCTTCAAAAACATGTATTAGTTTGATGCAAAGTTGAAATCAGTGCATCCCAATGTCAAGGTATTAACTGCCTCTCATAAAACATAAAATTCTGTAAACACAAAGCAACCATATAAAAATCTTCCAATTTCTTCAGCCATGTGAGTTAACAGTGAATCGCATCATTAAACTGATGTCAGGGCCTGACTGGTTGAATAGGAAAGTATTCACTGAGAATGTTGTCTACCTGCAGATTAACTCCATTAGGGGATCTTCTCAAAGTTCCTGGGCAGTTTGCTAAAGGCTTTAAAGATATTGGAGGCCAAAATGAACATATTTCATTTTATTACTTCAAGAGCTTTTTGAAGTTCTTATCACCAGAAAAATCATCTGTTTATTATGGCATTTTGATGGTATTTTCCTTGGCATTTCAGTTAGTCTTAGGCAAAAGAGCAAATTTCTGTGTCCAGACACAAATCCAGAAGCTTACTCCCTAGACCGCCGGTCTGTGGCCCACCCAGTTGTTGTGGTGCCCCTGCTAGTACACAAGATTCATACACCAATGATGCTTGCCAATTCCTTCTCTTACCCATTCCAAATACATATAGTATTCAGCAGTATTTAAAAAAAAATAGTTTTCAGATACAGAGTAAAAAAAAATCAACATCCTCACCCTTCAGTCTGCTATTCTATAAATTTTCTGTATGATCTTGGGTCAGTCATTACTACAGGGGACCAGACTGTCACATCTGTGAAAATGCATGTACTCATAATTAGGATGAAGAAAAAAATGCAATCTTCATCATGTCTCTTTTTTAAAAAAGATATATTTACTTGTATTGGAAAGGCAGATTTACAGGGAGGAGGAGGAGAAAGATCTTCTGTCCACTGGTTCACTCACTCCCCAAGTAGTCACAATGGCCAGAGCTGAGCTGATCTGAAGCCAGGGGCCAGGAGCTTGTTCTAGATCTCCCACATAGGAGCAGGGTCCCCAGGCTTTAGGCGGTCCTCTAATGCTTTGCCAGGCCACAAGCAGGGAACTGGATGAGAAGTGGAGCAGCCAGGACATAAACAGACACTTTTATGGGATCCCTGCGTGTACAAGGCAAGAATTTTAGCCACTAGGCTCTCTCACTGGGCCCTGGGATTAATTTCTGAAATAATACTCCTTACTTTTGGTCTTGAGCTTTTAGTTAAAAGACATTTCGTGACAAGATCTAACAGGTAAGCTGGGAAGAGATTGGGAACAAGGAGATTTTTCATTCCTCTCTTGAACTTGGTAACTATACCTCCCTAAATTCTTCTCATAAAATAATAAAATTGGATTTGAAGGGTGCATGTTTTTCAGTATTTGTTTTATTGGAAAGGTAGAGAATGTGCCCGATAGGCAGATGGGTTCACTGTCCAAGTGCCCACAGTGCTTAGGCTGGGCCAGAACAAAGCCAGAAGCTGGGAGCTCAGTCAGGACGACTTGGGTTCTAACCTGCAGCTTTCTAGCATGCGTACTAAAAGGCAACTGGAATTAAGACTGGTGATGAGACTTGGGTCCAAGCACTTCAGTATGGGCTGTGGGCATCCAAAATGGCATCTTACTTCACCATGCCAAATGCTCACCTTGCCACATTTTTTTTTCTGTTCAGAGTATAAACACAAAGTATTTTCTTCTGCTTTTCTGTACATGACATTGCATTAATGGTATATAATAATTAATTAAGACTAT